GCTGATGGGGCCCCAGCTTGTCTCGAAGCCGCTGGAGCGGCAATGCTGGGGCCCTGCGCTGCTAGGGCCAGGCCTCCGCCTCCTCGCCCTTCATCATCGGCCGATAGTCATGTAAGGGACCCGGGCGGGCCCCCCAGGCTGCCCGGGCCCCTTACATGAGTATCGGCCGTACCCCCCTGATGGCTGCCCTGAACACATTCATGCGAAGTGAAAGGTCCACTTCAGGACATACTAGTTAGTGGTTAAAGGAGAACACTTTAACCTCATAAAGGATTGTCACTCACCTCATAGTTCGAGCCGACCTGTGACAATGAAACTGTCACAGGTCGGCTCTATAGATCAGGAAGTGAGCAAACACATACCGTCGCCCGTTCACTTTCCGATCATCTCCCTGCAGAGAGCCGTAGGGATTCCCCCCCTTCCCTCTCCGATCCTTCAGAGCTGACTAGAGAAATGGACGGGGGAGGGGGCGGGCCCTGGTGGCTCTGCCTCTAGATAGGCAGAGCCCGCTGTCAATCAGCCAGCTGGGTGGATCCAGACAGTATTGTCGGGATCCGTCCCGGCCGCGGTGCTCTCAGTATATAGTGAGCAATAGCCCGCTATATACTGAGCTTTGGGTCACGGGAGGGCGTTAGCATATGTTCTCCCGTGACCCTTAAAGGAGAACTATGATGTGAGTGCTTTTTACTCATTCTCATAGTTCTAGCTCGACCTGTGACAATGAGACTGTCACAGGTCGGCTCAGTAGATCGGGAAGTGAGCGAACAAATACCGGCGTTCGCTCACTTCTCGATCCTGTTACAGCAGAGAGCCGTGACAGGGGAGGGACTGGATTCCCCCCGCTCCGATCCTCCAGCGATGACTGGCGGAACGGACAGGGAGGGGGCGGGTACAGCTGGTTCTGCCTCTAGATAGGCAGAGCCAGCTGTCACTCATGCAGCTGGGCGGATCCCGACATAATTGTCGGGATCCGTTTCAGCTGCGGCGTCTCAGTATGCCGCGAGCGGTAGCTGAGCTTAGGGTGACGGGAGGACTCTAGTTTGTGTCCCCCCGTTACCCTTAGGAGAACTATGGGGAAAAGCCCTAACCCCATAGTTCTCCTTTAAGAGAACTATGGGATAAAAAGGTTACCCCATAGTTCTATTTTACGGCATGCTTTAATGCACGCAGTAATATTGAATGGGTTGCCATTTTAGCATAGCTTAAGTAAATTTTAGGCTGACAAGTTCTTTTAGCAGCTTAATAAATAAGGGCTTAAGTGTCATATGTAAGTTTTTTATTTCCACTTAACAGGGTAGTGTGTTATTGAAGCTTAATCCTATAGGTTACCCATTCCACCTTTTAATGAGGAAATATCAAGACTACCATTGCAGACCTCCTCCTAAAAATGCAAATTGCTTGGCTGTCATACTAATTTAATTACTTCAGTGCTTTGAGTCATTAAGCTGGAACAAGCATGCAGATCAGAAAAGTCACATTGAAGTCACAACTTCTAACCTGCATACGTATTCTGGGTCTATGACAATGAAATTACAGTAACTAATTAAGCGTGACCTCCAGGCAACTATCATTTTAGGAAAGGTCAGCAATGGCAATCTCCATTCATGTTAAGTTCAGGTTTAAAGCATACTGCATTGCAATATGTCACCACTGTGAAGAATATTTGATAATAACAGATAATAACTGGAAGGAATGAGTATAGAATTATCATCTCGTGGCCACCACAGTAGCAGACATTTGGCCCCTAAGGTCTCATGTTCCTAACCCTGGTCCCGGCCCTCATCCACCATTTCAATAGTGGAATTATTTTTCATATTGGTGCATTAAGGGACTTGGAGGGATGGCAGACAGCTCTAACCTGTCATATGGGCACTTTGTGCTTTCTCTCACTGTAGTGTCCATGTCATCCCCGATCAGCCAATGAAAATCCGGATCACTATATAATCGGAGAGAGCGCCTCTTCTTCATAGAGAGGTAACTGCAGCCAGCATTAAAGTCGCCCATAAAAACCAGATTCTGTTATGAAAATGAAGAATGAAAAGTTATTCTTGAGTAGACTCAATCGGTGAGAAGCACTGAAAATGTAATGTCATATCTTTAGTGAAACCATACGTTGCCCCCCACAGAGCAAAGCACAGCTTTACATGAAAGTGGATTGGCTGAGCAGTTCTCTCTCTCCTCACAGCTCGGCAATCCTGCATGACAGCTCCCTCCTCTGGATTGCCGGCTACAGAGCTCCATTTCTCCTTGGATCCCCACTGCCTCTGCCCATACAGGTGGAGGAGAGCAGCAGGGATCCGAGGAGAAGCTGCAGGCTGTGCCACTCCTTCTACTCCCTGCCGCCCTGCCTTGCCCTTCCTACAGCCCTGCAGGAGACATCGGTTACCAGAACAAACCAAACATTTTTGCTAGAGTTATACTTTGAAGGAGAATTCAAGTGCAGCTACAAAAGTAGGTTTCTGTTTTTAACAGACAGTGGTAGAAATCAAGGAATACAATAGCTAAGGCGTATCTAATCCATATTGTGGCTAAATTACGTAGAATATTGGGCTTGGCTTAAAGGAGCATGGCTAAATTGAGTTTGAGCCTATATTTTGTATTTCCTGTACATAGTCTGCAATCCTGCTACCCACAAAACAGTCCATAATCACTGTACTAAGAGTGACAGTCTCATTTACATTAAAGGATCAATTAAACAATATAGAACTAAAAAAATATACACAGAGAGCTAACACTGTGTCTGAGGCTACCCTAAAGAAGAACTTAAGATAACTGTGGCCCAATGTTTTTTGCCATAGTTCTCTTCAGGATCACAGGAGGACATATACTAATATCCTCCTGTGACCCAAAACTCAGCATATAACAGGCTATTGCCCACTATATGCTGACAGTGCAGAGCCGTGCTGTGGCCAGGAAAGATTCCAACAATATTGTCAGGATCCACCCCGCTGCCTGATTGACAGCTGGCTCTGCCTCTCTAGAGCCAGAGCCAGCTGTGCCCGCCCAAAAGATCCATTTGGATCAGTGGGTGTGGTGGGGGGGCATTAGTGCTCAGTGACAGATGAGGGGGCAACACTAATGCTCAGAAAGGGGGTGGAGGGGGATTGTCGGCACTATATAAATGCCTGTAATATTATAAATAAATAAGTGCTCAGCAGGGGGTGATGGTGGTGAGGAGAAAAATAGTGCCCGGTGGGGGAAACAATAGTGCCCAGCAGGGGGTGGAAAAAATTGGAGTCAGAATATCTGCACAGTGCTTGCAGCTGATTGTCTGCAAGCATTGTTCAGCCAACAAACTTTCAAACATGTTACTTTGCAAAAGTTGATCTAATGATCGCCTTCTGTCAACAAGATATGGTCACCAGTGGAGCGAATTTGGTCCGATTCCTGCTGAATCGGCGAAATTCGCTCCTTGTCTATCCAGCTTTTATTTTTTCCAAGATTTTCTCCATCCCTTTTTTTCTCCCTGAATCAGGTTCTGAGTGACAGATTAAATAATGCAATCTCCCTGGTAAAGTGCTGTCACCCTGGCATGTTTTAGGCACCAGGGGCTAAAGAAGAAATTGTGAAGGCAGGATTAATGGAGAGGTAGAAGGAAGGCAGACCCTCACCAGGGTAGTGATGTTCATTACTAGCCCAGAGAGTAGGCTGCAGACTTTGAATAGCAGTGTCACATTCTGACTTTTTAGTGAACAGAACAGCAGATATATCATCAGATAAAACTATTTAAATAGAAATATGTGCTTCAACTGTGTATGTAGCATTTCACTGGAGTTCTGCTTTAAGAATGTGATCTGTTTTTTACTAAAATTGTCAGGATAGTTGCATTTCATTTACATTACAGCGCCAGCGGCTCCTGACATCCAGAAATACATCATAAAGGGTTTCAAGTTCCTCCATGGCTTTGTCTGGGACTGTATGTTGGGGAATCAGAACCAGATCTTGCAGGTCTAAGTAGGAAGAGAGATATGGCATCACATAATTTATATATACACACAGACACATCAATACAGCTAACAATACACAGTATATAAACGGTATATAAATATATACTGTATCTCCATATGTGACGATAATGGGGTTTGAGTCTAATGATATTAAAAATAGCATTCTCTTGTCCCCCTGTCCCCCGATCCAGAGCAAATGTAGGCCTTCATTTAGTCATTTGCCAGGTCCCTCCACATTCCACAGAACAGAACATTTTATGGGGGCCCTAATTAAAGGTATGCAACCAGGTTAGGTATGGATACCTACACTGAGCCAAGCTGGGCCAATGTAAGTATCCATAAACGATCATTCTTGAGTTCAGATTTTTAGTCCTATTTTACCTACACTGGCCATTCCATCCTATAAAACCTATTGACTAGAAGATGTCCCTCTTGTACCACAATCCCGCTAAAGCTGTAGAAAATTGTAACACTCTCCAGCAGGAAGGGAAATGATTACATGTAAACAGAGTGCAACAACAACCAATATGTTTGCCAATACCACATTTTTAGAGAAGAGGAAATAACCGTGACACATTTATTTTAAAACACGACTGTAAAACAATCAATGGTAAAAACAATGTAGGTTCCTGTTATTAGGAATTGATAGATCCAATGTCTACTTGACAATAGTCATCTGTAAGACTTCATATCAGCAGCAGATGACAAAAAGATCAGAAGTACAGTACAGAAGGTTCTTAATACACGCCGCTGCATTTCAGAACCTTGCATGCATTTAAAATTTCACAGCTCTAAAACTATATTTGTTTTCCCTATTGTATATAACAAAAACTACCTAGGTACACCCTGCAAAGGTACAGAATGGGACCTGCTATACTCAAAGGTATGCACCGATACTAGTATCAGTGCCGATACGGAGTATGTGGGCGAGTGTAAGGAGTGCCAATGGTTTGGCAGAAGAACGAAGTGGAACTCACTGGCAGGAAATGGCCTGAAGCGTCCGAAGGTAGAGGTACAAAAGGGTTAATCCAAAGAGAAGTCAAGTCCAATCCGAGTCGAGGCAGGCAGCAAAGGTTCAGGGGCGAAAGGCAGTCCAAGGTCGGCAACAGGAGGTCCAGATAAAGGGGGTCAGGAAACAAAGCAAGGCACATGTACAGTGAGCTAGGAAATCACACCACAGGATGAGATAACTCAGCAGCAAGCCAGAGCTCTGGCCAGTTTTTTATAGAAAGGGGTTGTAAGTCTGCCCCCCTGTCACCGAGGCAACCAGGAGGCTTCTCTCCACGAGAGCCAATGGCAGGCGAGAGGTGGTATGGGTGTGTACTGGAACCTCCCCCAGCTAGATCCACACCTGAGGCCTAAACAGGTGCAGGCGCACTATGCACGTGCTCCTGGGGATGCGCGCGCAGCCTGCGTACTGCGCATGCGCACCTGCCTCACGACTCGCGCATGCGCACCTGCAACCCGGGCGCCAGTGGTTCTGCCAGGCTGGAGGGAGACCCGTACCCTGCGCCGTGCCCGCTGACCCTGTGGGGAGGTGACACCCCTGGTTTCCTGACAGCGAATACTTGTACTCGCCCAAATGCTCTGATACTTACTCCTGATATCGGAGCTCTCCCTCTGACCGGGATGCCGCAAGGGAGCATGGAGCCGCATTCAGGCTTCCTGATTGGCTAGGAAGCCGACTTCATGTGTTGCTAGGCAGCCTGGCTTCCTGACCAATCAGGACTGGGTGGCACATCATTAACCAGCTTCCTTATAGGCTAGGAAGCCGCTCACTTGTTGCTAGGCAGCCTGGCTTCCTGACCAATCAGGACTGGGTGGTACATCATGACCCGGCTTCCTTATAGGCTAGGAAGCTGGCTTCACTTGTTGCTAGGCAGCCTGGCTTCCTGACCAATCAGGAAGCCAGGCTGCCACACAGTGGCACGAGGGAAGTGAAGCTGGCGTTCTTTCCATAGAACACCGGCTTCCTGATAATCTGGTACCTTGGGATGTAGGTATCCATATTTGGTATGGGTGAGTGCCCAAATTTTTTTATCAGTACTCGATACCGCTAAACCGGTATCGGTGCATCCCTACTGAAAGGGTCAGTCTGGCCTAAGCTAATTTACAGAAAAACTGGATGACCGCACACCAACTATTTCAGAACTATTTCTTTTATAAAAGTATAACACAAGAGATGAATTGAGACCTACTGACGCATTTCACCAGTGCTTAGTCATATACCCAAAGCTGATATTTCACTGTTTAGTGGATACTAGATAATTAAACTTGACAGATTCTTCAATCTCCCAGAGAACTCTGGGATCTCTGAGATACGTTCTGGGGTGTACATAGCATACATGTGCCCATTATGAGGGGCTTGAAGCATCAATGCTGGATTTTTTAACTGGATCTGGAGAGATTGACCCTTTAAGCTGTGTCTGCCAACCCAGGGGTTAAACAAGATTATTTTATAAGTAAATGTCTCAAATGTGTACAAAGACAACAACAAAATACATTTTGTAGTGCAGGCAAGGGTTAGAACACCTGTCTAGGTCATGCAGCTGTTTCCGTTCATGTTGGGGATATTTCTCCTCACTTCCTGTTTTGATGACTTCCTGCCACACCCTGATACACAGTATGTCATCAGGACAGGAAGTGAGGGAAAATCTCTCCAGTAGAGAGATGGATGGAAATAAACCTTGGAGAGTTTCTTACCCTTCCTCACCTTATACAGTTAAAAAAAGGTTTGGTGTTCCACTTTAAAACCTATAGATATATAAATATGAATGTGAACAATTCTATTATTTTAGCACAATGTATCCCCAGTCAGAAATGTCTTTTCAAAACCTACAATGTTTGCTATTCACTGACCTGCAGATTGCAATGTGAAGCGGACCACATATGGTTCCCGAGCAAAAATGTCTGGTTTGGATGGGTCATTGTCATGGTACTTATACTGATCCCTCACTGAAATCTTGTCTGATCTATGAAATAAATCAGGAGCAAATTAGGAATCAAGAGAAGGTGATGAATCAGGAAAAGGCTCAGAATCGGGAGAAAGATAGGAATCAGAAGGATGAAATATTGTAAATATTGTATAATAATATTTTGTACTGCTATTTCCAACCAACAACTCTCAGCTTTTTTTTACACATTTTCAAAAAAATCCTGTTGTTTACAGAGTTCAATATCTCAAGCTGAAATTGTTACACACAATTAAATCAGGGCAGTGACTCCTCCTTCATCTTCCCCCTTCGTATGACCCTATCTGAGGTTTCCATTGGAGACAGAGTATCTGAAAGGAGACAACTACTGATGTACTCTCTCTTTAGGGAACACATAATGCTCATGGTGTCATGGTTCACCCAGCATTAAATGTTTATTTGTTAACTACCGTAATCATTTTATGAAAATATATAAAAAAATATAAAACATCGGTTTAAAAACATATACATTCAAAAACATTACAAAGATTACAAAATGTTTCATACAAATGTCCCAAAAGCAATACAGTTTCCTTTAAAAACAAAGCCCATCAAATAAAAAAATTCAGGCACTGCCATTGCTGAACTTCATACGGAAATGCTGCTTGTTATGCTAAACCTCTGGCCTCAGTACTTTCTGAGTCATACAGAATCAGAATTCCTAAGGATCTGCAAAATTGTTTCAGGCCAGTTTCTAAAATATTGAAGCGGGTCAGCAGGGCAGCGGGGAAGCTGGCATTTTCAGGAGTGGCCAGCAGTGCCAGCCCTGTGTTTGTGGTTAACAAGGCAATCTTAAATGAACCTGGTCATTATCTAGGAGTTTGTAAACTGGTGGCTTTCCACTGTTGCACTCTACCAAGAGGTCAGCAGAGTATCCTAACTGATACTGGAGGTTGACAGCATATTATTACCCATACAGAGGTGTATTACAAGACTTACTTATATATGAAGACATATTGTTCAGTGTAAGACTTCCGGCCCAGAGAGGGACTAACAACAGCCAGGAAAAGGTCTTGTGGTCTATGAAGGAAAAATCATAATGCAGCTTCCATTAAAAAAATACCTGGTGATCCTGCCATGAAAGTCATTGTTCAAGCACTTCCCATTATAGGATGACAACAGTCTCCCAATTGTGCTCCTGCATTGTCACCCTGTCACATGTGCACCTGATGGGAGACTACGAGTGACCATGCTAATACACATTGTACAGGCATTCCCCATCATTGTCAGTATCAGAAATCTTATTCAGAGAAAAGGAGCTGGAGGGAGTGCAGGAATTGTCTGAAAAACACTGGAGGAGATCAGCACCACTGAGATGCCAAAATGGATAATAAAAAGATGTAAAACTGCATTTATTTAAAAAATGCAAAATGTTTATGTTACGCAGTGCTTCAGAAAACTAAAAGTCAGCTCGTAAGGCTGCATTCTGGCATTCCTGTGACAGGAACCTACAGATTCCTGTAGCAGAAATGCCAGGTGTCCACATTTAGATGCGGTCTGTTCATGTTAATGACCCGATCACAGCGGCAGTATCTTAAAGCAGCAGTCCACATGTAATCCAGTGTGTTACATTTACATGCAGTTTGGAATAGATCACTGTCCCTGGACACAGAATAGTGAACTGTTCCAAATTGGACACTGAGATTCCTGCCACAGGAATCCATAGGTTCTTGCTGGAGGAATCCCAAATCTTGTCATGTGAATGGGGCCTTAGGGGTTAGATTTAATTTAAAGTGACACTAATTTAGAAATTAAATCTTAAAAATACATTCAAGTACCTAAACTATTAAAGTGACATTAACGTTTTGTTTTTTTCCCCATTGTAATTCTGCTTTAATACTTACCTTATGTGATGCGTCTTGGTGCGATCATCTTCAACCTTCCACCCATTTCTCCAAGCTCGCCCCCGTGATGGACTACAATCCCATGATTAGTTTACTAATTTGCCGTGCGTATTTTGCCATGCATACACGACACATGCACAAACGCGGAATGTGTTTGCGTTGCCATTACTAGGTAATGGCACTCCAAACACAGCCGAGCAAACTTGGTTTTTCCACACATGTTCGCGCGTAAGAACACGCACAAATGCGCAGGAAAAAAATGAGGAACGCATTTCGCCAAATTTGCATCATGTACTTGTTTTCCTGTTGGCATGCGTCCAGGGACTTAATGGGGATCAATGGAGATGTGCAGAAAGTAAAGTCCCGCAAAGGTGTGGGAACATGTGTTTCAGCAATGCGGGTCCCCGCTACGCCCCAGTGTGACCAGAGGCTTAATATGTAACAGTTCCAAAACTGATTTCCCAGCCACACCCACCTGTTCAGTTCCTGCAAGAGTTTGGACAAGGCTTGGCCTTTGGGGTCCTGCACTTCCTGGAGGAGACAGATGTCGCACCGCTGTACAATCTGCAATAAAAATTGAAAGACATTTTCTAAAAAGCTGCTTTGGCTCAAACAGAAAAAAACAAACTAATTTCAAGTAAACAAAGTTATCCATATAATGGAAATGTATTTTTATTATATAAATAGCACAAAGTTCCCTTTACTTTAATAACATATATATAACACTGTACCTTCTGGAATGTTTATCTTCTAAATCTTTGTACTATATTGCAAGAACACAATGTAACTTTAAGGTTGCTGTAAAATAAAACAAATGCCTTGCTTGTTACTTAAAGGGGAACTATGAGGTGAGTGATTTCCACTCATCCTCATAGTTAGAGCCGACCTGTGACAAAGAAGCTGTCACCGGTCGGCTCTATCAATCCGGAAGTGAGCAGAAACATGCACAAATCTGCTCACTTCTCGATCGTCTCCCTGCAGTGAGCAGTGACTGTTAGTCACTGCTCCCCGCAGGGATTCCCCCCTCACCCCTCCGATCCTCCAGCGCTGACTGGAGGAACGGACGTGGAAGGGGGGGGGGGGCACAGCTGGCTCTGCCTCTAGATAGGCCGACCCCGCTGTCATTCACACAGCTGGGCGGATCTTGACAGTATTGTTGGGATCCGTCCTGGCTGTGGCGCTCTCAGTATATCACGGGCAATAGCCTGCTAAATACTGAGCATTGGGGTCACGTGAGGAGGTTAGTAATATATGTCCTCCCGTGACCCTAAAGAGAACTATGGGGAAAAACACTTACCCTATAGTTCTCTTTTAAAATAAAACTGATATAACCTATAATTGCTATACAAGTCATTTTGTAATGTAATGTTATTTAAAATAACCATAATCGACATGCTGATAGTGTTGATGGAAGAATTGGGTCTATTTTTTTGTTCAGCCCGCAGGTTGAACGAAAAAAATAGATCAGTGTATGGCCAGCCTTATAGTCTTCACACACAAAGTGATGCAAAGGCTGCAGTGTTTTGTAGTACAACACTGGGCCTAATCAGCTGTTTATAGTGAAGGCAGGTTCCCTCATTTAGTTGTCAGTTTAACCCCTTAGCGACACAGCTTCAGAATTTATTTTAGTTCCTGGGAACCGAAGCAATTTTGCCATTTGTGCTGATAGTTTATTTCATCATTTCCATCTTCCTCCTTCATTGCACCTACACATATTATATAACGTTTTTTAAAGGACAAAACAGGGTTTAATTTGATGTGACATATGCATATATAAATTCTTATTTTTTATAAAAAAATACAAATTAATAAAAAAAAAAACAAAACAGTTTTCACAGTTTTGACAATAATAATGTGTACATAATTAGTGTAGCTAACAAAGTAATTCATAATACATTCTTATGTTTGTCCTGATTTATAGGGTATAGCATATGTCTGGGATTTCACTTTATTTGGGGAGTTATAGGTCACAAAATACATGGAGTAAAATACAATTTTAGTGTGGAACAATTTCAGAGTGTGGTATGTATGTCTCCTATATTTAATAGCCTCCTCACCACTAAATGTTCTTATAATTTTTTTATTAAACATATTTGTTTTTATCTTGTTTTTACTTTACTTGAAAACATTTTTTTTTTAACTTTTAAAACTTTTTTTAAAACTAGGTGGCACTAAAAGTTTCATTGTTACAGGGGCTTTGGATACTTAGTATTGAGAGGAAACACTGTATTCTCCTCAGGGATACGTTGTATGACTTTTGTAGCACACTGATCTGGCTTGCAGCTCCACAACAAGCTGGATTAGCTATCGCTGTGATGACAGTGCTGGGACCCCCTAATTTGCTGTTGAGGGTCTGCTTCTGACACAGAGGGACCCAGCAACAGCATGAACCAGCGCTCATTTTCCTGCATTACAGAATTATTCTGTCACTGATCTTTAACTGAGAGGTCGTGACGGAATAATTCCGTCATCAGTCGGGAAGGGGTTAAGAAAGGGCCTATATCCACTTTACATCTATTTAAAAAAAGTATTTTAATTGTGCTTTCTTTTTATTTCCATACTCAACTCCAGATTTTTTGTTTGCTTTAGACATAATGGGGAAAGGGTAGGACCTTTGTCGGGCATTAGACCCCATTCACACCTATATGTTTAGGTGTGATTAGGATTTCCTGCATCAGAAACTTGCATTTTCCTGCAGCAGAAATCCCTAATCCACCGTTTACAAGCAGCAGTTCAAGTTAATGCTCAGTTAACAGTCACTGCTTTTTAATACTGGCACACCACATGTAATCATATCAGATCAATCACTCTCCCTGGACGCACAATTGATGTGTTAACTTGCACAGGTGACAGCTGCTGCTTGTAAATGGCAGATTAGGCATTCCTGCTGCAGGAAAACGCAAGGTCCTGATGCAGGAATCTTTAATCACACACAGGGCAGCCATCAGAAATTTTGGGGCCCCTTACACAACTTTAGGCCTGGCCCCACCCCAAGGCTTTTTTACCCGGCTGTCCCATTGAGTCCCATTGAGTCCGCCCACCGGTCGTCCCTCCGGGTCCTTCAATGCACTTTTATTTTAACACTGTTACAACTTAATGTAAATGTGTATTCCAAGTCATCCGTGCATTCAATATTTGTCCCTAGGTGACATTAGGGGTCTGAAAGACCCCGATGTCTCCATAAAGAGGACCTGTCACACCCTATCTGCTATTACATATGGTGCTTGCTAGCTCCCTATGTGATAGCAATAGCGTTAGTGTAAAAAAAAAAAAAAAGTGTTTAAAAATTAAAGTCACATAAGAAAAATGTAATAAATGCAAAAAAAACAATTTAAGCCCCCCACGTGCACACACATACACACGCAAACACGCGTCGGTCCGCCTACATGCGAAAACGACAATTTCGCTACACGTTACAAATCGCCGCGAATGTCGGAGTGAAAGCAATAATTCAAGGGCCATCAATCACTGTTAGCACTAAACTGATGAGCGGTAAAAGTGTTTAAAATGTTCCCTATTGGAAATTTTGGGTATGTAAATTTTTTTGGCTTCACGGGCGAACGCAATTTTAAGGCTGGACATGTTTGGTATCTGTTTACCCGGCGTGACCCCTGTCTTTTATATATTACCCAAAATTGGCATTATATTATGTTTTTGTGCACTAAATTTTAATTTATTTTTTTTTTTTAAATACCAGTTTGGTAAACATTTGCGCAAAAATCGTGTGACATAAAAAATTGCAACTAGCATTTTTTTTATTCTACAGGGCCTCTGCTTTCAGAACATATATCATTGTTTGGGGGTCTGAAGCTGTTTTCTAGCCAAAAATTTATATTTTCTCATGTGTGCGCAAATAGTAAAAAAATGCCCCCGGACAGCAAGTGGTTAAAATGTGCACCTGACATTCAGTTTTCTGCTGTTCTGAAGTCATGAATAAAACATGTGATTTATGAAGGGGAGGAAGTCTGTCAGGTAGACATGCACTTAGCTCCATAATTTCTTCCTTTCTGTCTGTCCCCCCCACCCCAGTGTCCGTCGCTCACTCTCTTCCCCTTCCTCCTCTCAGTGTCCATCAGTCTCTCTCACTCTCCCCCCCCCCCCTTCTCTGAGGGGGAGGAGGGGGAGAAGAGTGAGACACAGACCGACGATGCTGAGAGGAGGGAGGGAAGAATGAGAGAGAGACCGACCGATGCTAAGAAGCTGTCAGCGTTGGTTGATCTGTCTCTCTCTCCCCCCAGTCTCTGTCACAACCCCCACCATCCCTGGGGCCTCTGTCTGCAGTGCTGGGAAACACTTACCTTTCCCCTCCAGGCAGGCAGCAGCCGACATGCACATCTTCATCCTCGATCTCTGGCGCTTCTGCCCAGGAAATTAGGCTCCGCCCCCTTAAGCACTTCAGCGGAAGATACCAATAGCGTGGGGGGTGGGGCGGGACAAAGCAAATGTAACTATTCATATAATTCTATCAGAAAAAAAATTGTAGCTTGGAGCCCGGGCCCCCCCGGCCACCGGGGCCCCTTACAATGGTACTGTCCTACCCCCCTGACGGCGGCCCTGATCGCACATAAACATATAGGTGTGAATGAGGCCTAAGATGCTAGCTGTTCCTAATTTAACAGGATTCTCAATTTTTTTTCTGTCTGACACTTATCAAATAGACAGGAAGTAAGAAGAAAGTTTCCCAATGGGGTCAAACATGGCAACAAACATCTGACAAAGCTAGAAAAAAAAACACTTAAGCTGGAGTCTGGCTTTAAGATTACCAGCTTGAGCTCTGCATATCACAGGTACACAACAGGCTGTGTTCTCCATACTACCTTGACTATTAAATCCAGCACCTCCTGGTTGGCGGCCTTCTTCTCCCCAAAGTGCTGGGCATTGAAGGCGCAGATTCTGAAGGGCCACACGTAGGGCCATAGGAGGTGAAAGAGTAGAAGGTATAGCCAGGGGAACATCTCAAGTCTTTTCGATCAACTCCTCATGTTCTGAAAGATAAAATGGACAGGCTGTCCAGAACCAGCTACTTCAGAAGGTAGTTTGTTAAATTCTATCAAGGAAAATGATCACAAATATAGATTAAATAATAGTATATACAGTACATACTATAATATTATTTGCAGCTCTTTGGAGCATCCAACTACTTCTATGACATGTCCCCAGACTCTGACCATCTCCTACAGCATGTCCACAGTCTCTGACCATCTCCTACAGCATGTCTACAGTCTCTGACCATCTTCTATAGCATGTCCATGGACTTTGACCATCTCCTACAGCATGTCCACAGTCTCTGACCATCTCCTACAGCCTCTGACCATCTTCTATACAGTTTCTTGGCTGTTGGAGGCTTAACGGCTGTTCATGTTACAAGTGAAGCAGGAAGTTTTAAAATGAAATGGCCAAGCTGTATTCTAATCTTCCAGTTTCCCCACGGCTGATTTAAACCTCATTCTCCACAGAGGAAGTTGGAGTTTCCCTGTGAGGTGGCTTATTGCAAAGCTCAAAAAATATTTTTCAAATGTGCATGACTCAGTGCAAAGTTTCCCATAATCTTTTTTAGAGGAAACACTCTTTCAATCAGCATTTCTATATATTGAAATTTGCTGCATTAGTATTAATATTTGGCTGTTCAAGTGCAACTAAAAACCTACAAGTGGCTTTATTTTCAAATAAAATAAGCATAGATAACGTTTGCAATACAACAAAAAAATTAAAAGAAATACCGGTAACTAATGCAGAGGGCAAAAAAGAGCATTCTTAAAAAGAAATAGTTATGTGTAAAGTACAAATGTCAGTGCACGAGGGCAGAAAGCATGTCATTCCTCAGTATAGTGCCACAGTGTGACAGCTGAATTTGGCAAAGGAATGTGAAGCTTTTGCCAGGCAGGTTAAAGTCTGGAGAGTGAAGCCACACGATCAATGTTACTGTGTAACCCTCTGCTCTCTTACATTCTATCACTTATTCATTTTTATTTCTATTATAGAGTAACTTATTCTTCATGGTCTTGTTTTAATTGGTGGTGACACTGCAAGGACTTCCACAGTTACTTTCTACCTTTATATAACACTAACATCACCATTAATAAATTATTTCACAACTATCTGGTTATCTTTTATTGCATACTACTCAGCAATTCCTGGTCCCTCCTGCCAGTCGGATGTTCAGCAGCATTTGTTGCACCATCGGCTGCACTGGTGTTTGAGCTTTGCACACTCGTCCACTCTCCTCCCACAATCTGCCCTCTGCTATATCTTACACCCTGGATTATCACCCAGCATCACACTCCATCCACGGTTCATCTCAGCTCACCCTCATGTCTACTGAGAATGCAGCTCACCCTCTGGCTTATATTAAACATTTTATCTCGGGAGGGATGGGGGGAGTGTGTCTTACACTGGCGGGGCAGCCTCTCGACACCATTAAGGTGAGTCACCTTTTCACTACTCTTCCCCAAATTATAGTGTAATATCTAATCATGAAGGGACATGTGTTCAAGGGGCAGGTTAGAAATTGCTAGTGACCACTGTGTTCACCATTTGGGTGGGCTTATTATTCAGCATATGCATACCCACAACTATCCCTCATTTAAAGGGACTGTCCCTCTTTTTGGAAACAAATTCCTCTGTTCCTCTTTCTTCAGTTGCCCCTCTTCTTGCTCTGATATAATACAATCAATCTTTAACTACCAAATGGGGTTATATTACACTAAGCCTTTTGACCAATCTCTAAATGATTGAATGTGTTATTTTAAAGCCAATATAAAGCAAGCAAAGAAGTGAAAAAAGCATTTGTGTGTTTAAATAATCAATCATTGGCGAGTAGATTTTTCATGGTCCATGTAACTGGCAGAGTGGCAGGGGTGTGTCTTTTACCTATATACTTTGTGCTAAAAGGTGTCCCTCTTTCTCATCCCAGAAAGTTGGGGGTTATGCAGATGTCAGCAGTCAACCAGTCAACATCAGTTGTAACAGCTACCACTATGCTGGAAAACTTCTGTTGCTCAACATTGATAAAAAGGAAAGTAAAAGCAGTTATTGGATTTCCTTTGCATGGTTTTATACAGTCCCTTTGAACCAAAAATGGTGTTTGCTGGAGAGTTAGACTGTCTGTCAGTTTCTTATATCTCTTGGGGACACTATTGGTGAAATGTATGCACAGAGTTTCCAGGACTGTAGTATTGCTGTGACCATTATGAGGAGCTGAAACACAAGAAAATGGACGGGAGCAACCAAACTTCCCAAAACAGAGTCGGGTATTATTGGAGAGAGATCTCGTTGTTGGAGTATCCAAGACATAAAGGGAACCAGGGGCTTTCCCAGACCAGCAGACTATACCTATAACTGAAATAGAACATTTGGGTCTACTGACCATTTAACACAGAATTTCTTCCCAGGAATTGGAGACGCATTGCCCTTCTTTTTAACATGTGTGTACAGAACCTAAGAAGCCAGTTGGCGATTTTATTCCCTTGCATATCTACATAACCAAGGTATCAAGAATCTAATAGAAAGCCAACCCTTGGGGACTGTTCACAGAAATATATCTAAAAAAAAAAGTGTCCTTGTGGTCTCCTGAACAGGAAATAAGAGTAAATATCTCTAATGGAAAAACTACAACAATACAATATGTAATAAGGGTTCTATTCCTTCCTCCCTATACCCACTTTAAGGATGAAGGCTTAATCCATTGACGACTTATAACCGATGATTTACATTAATCCACTATTGCATAATGCAACATTTTTCTAAAATGATTCCTCTTTTTCAACCAATATCTAGACATTTACCCTTTTACAGCCTTTGCGGGATCTGTGGTGTCGCTTTCTAGGACAGGGGTAGAGCAGATGGATGGTGATCTCCTGGCTTCTATCTGCAGTCACAGATCTGGGTGAGGTCTGTGTTGCCTGCTGACTACAGACACATTTTGTTTATCATTTATACCATTCACAAAATAGCTGAAGACACACGGTCCTGTCTGCTGCCATTAGAGGACCTGTTAAGCTGAAATACAATTTAGGCTGACAGTAGACAAATATCTCACCAAGAACAATTGTTAAGACAGACCCGGAAAGGTTCCAATCCTTTCCGGGATAAAATGTCTCTCTTGCGGGCGTCCGGGAGCCGTTATCTAGTAGCGGGAGACTCCCGGACCATCCGGGAGACTTGGGATGTCTGAGACATCTACCTGTCCTCAGATTTTCTGTCATTATCATCTGTGACACGTGACCAAAGCTCATTCATTTAGCATGCATATTGTCAAAAGCTAACACCAGCCATTTTTTTTAGTAGGGGAAGAGTTAAAATTTCTGTCTGTGACCCAGGTTTGATTTTTGTTCACTTCCTGTGTTAAGGAGATCTGTCAACACTGGCACAGTAAGGCATAGACAGAAATAAAAACACTGTCTGAAGATCTAACCCCACACTATTAATGTGTTTTTGTTTGCCATTGCAGTCTAAAAATGCTGGTTAGCTGGCTGTCTCTGGTTTTGAGTCATTTACCCAGAATAAGCATGCAGTTCAAGAGTGAATTACTGATTTTGCTGGCTGCATGCTTTTTCCGGGTCAGTGATTCAAAAAGATGCATTTAACCAGGCAACTAGTGTCTTCAGAAGATGTGACCTTCTACATTAATTGAAGACCTAGCTATGTAACAACAATGTAATTGCAGGTGAATCTACAGATTCAGGCAGCATAATACTGTGGATGAATGTGAGGGACACACGATCTCATCGCACACACTGTCATCCCTAACTAACTGAAAACCGGAGCTACGAGAGAGGCGGGTCTATGTAGATTCAGATGCAGCTGAAGGGAGGAGGAGCAGTTACGAAAATAGCCGGGCGGCTAGGGGAACACACATCGACACAGAATTCGACACAACACCGCCCCCAGAACTAGCTGTGTCGGGCGCCTGGGCCTGGAGCCCTTGTTGCCATGGCGCCCTGTGCGGCTGCACAGCTCGAACACCCCTTAGGCCGGCCGTGCCCTGCACTATCACACAGCACCACACTCCATCCACGGTTCATCTGAGCTCACCCTCATGTCTACTGAGAATGCAGCTCACCCTCTGGCTTATATTAAACATTTTATCTCGGGAGGGATGGGGGGAGTGTGTCTTACACTGACTGGGCAGCCTCTGGACACCATTAAGGTGAGTCACCTTTTCACTAGGGATGCCCCATACGATACAAGCATCGGCATCGGGTCCGATACAGGGCATTTTCACAAGTGCTTGTACTTGTGAAAATGCCCCCATACAAAGCGCCGACGCTTGCGCTATGTTTTTTTTTTTACTCACCGCGTCGCGCCGATCGTCGCGTCAGTGCTGCTCTGAAAGATCTGTTAAGCTGAAATACAATTTAGGTTGACAGCAGACAAATATCTCACCAAGAACAATTGGTAAGACATCTACCTGTCCTCAGATATTCTGTCATTATCATCTGTGACACGTGACCAAAGCTCATTCATTTAGATGCACATTGTCAAAAGCTAATACCAGCCATTTTTGTTTAGCAGGGGAAGAGTTAAAATTTCTGTCTGTGACCCAGGTTTGATTTTCGCTCACTTCCTGTCTCTTTGATGGACAAGAAATAAGAAGATCTGTCAACACTGGCACAGTAAGGCATAGACAGAAATAAAAACACTGTCTGAAGATTTAACCCCACTCTATTAATGTGTTTTTGTTTGCCATTGCTAATTGCCATCTGAAAATGCTAGTTAGCTGGCTGTCTCTGGCTTTGAGTAATTTACCTGGCATAAGCATGCAGGTCAAGAGTGAAAGACTGACTTTGCTGGCTGCATGCTTCCAGGTCAGCGACTCAAAAAGAGAGGCATCTAACCAGGCAACTAGTGTTTTCAGAAGATGTGACTCTCTACATTAATTGAAGACCTAGCTATGTAACAACAATGTCATTGCAGGTGAATCTACAGATTCAGGCTCGGCCTGAGGTAGGCGTATCCCCACGTTATAAAAGCACTGCAGACTGTTTCCGAAAGATCATCTCGCAGCAGGTATGTATCAACCTCTAACATTAGAAGTAGGGATGTTCAGATACCAAGTACCGTACTCGGTACAAGTACAGATACTTTTCGCGCTCCAGGACTAGACTAGAGAAAAATTCATAAGTTAGGAGGCAGCTGTCATTTGTAAGGAGCACACGGAGGTCCTGGGATTTGTACATCTCTGTTTTAATGTATGATTTTGTTTTTATAAATATATATAAGGGATGCACCGATACCATTTTTCCAAGTCCAAGTACTGATACTGGTCCAAGTACTCACAGATACAAGTACTGATACATTTTTGTTTATTGTCATGTGACAGTTTTTCTAAAACAATACAGACTAATGATTTCAGGACAGTGGTGGAGTGCCAGAGCCAGGTCCCAGCTGCAACCGTTGCAACCCTGGTAGTTCTCATGAAAATGCAAAGTATCGGCACCGGTATCTGAACTGGTATCTGAACATCCCTAATTAGAATTTAACAGAATATATTATATCAGGAATTTAGGTGGTGAAACTACAAATTCCATCATGTCTCTGTCTCTGGGAGTCATGCCTGTGGCTGTCATTCTTGCATCTTACAGACCTGTGATATTACAGATGTATAACAAGTCACCGGGGAGTTTATAACCCTTCCACTCAGTGTATAGCTGGGCGCATGGTGTTCCCATAGCACTACTGCCACCAGATGGCGCTAAGGAGCATTCCTATACTCCTCATCGCCATCTAGTGGAGATAGTGCCATGCAAATGGCATCCGTACAGAAGTGTTATAAATCAACCCCCCAAGGAATTTGTTAGGGATGCACCGATACCAAGTACCGTACTCGGTACAAGTACAGATACTTTTCGCGCTCCAGGACTAGACTAGAGAAAAATTCATAAGTTAGGAGGCAGCTGTCATTTGTAAGGAGCACACGGAGGTCCTGGGATTTGTACATCTCTGGTTTAATGTATGATTTTGTTTTTATAAATATATATAAGGGATGCACCGATACCATTTTTCCAAGTCCAAGTACTGATACTGGTCCAAGTACTCACAGATACAAGTACTGATACATTTTTGTTTATTGTCATGTGACAGTTTTTCTAAAACAATACAGACTAATGATTTCAGGACAGTGGTGGAGTGCCAGAGCCAGGTCCCAGCTGCAACCGTTGCAACCCTGGTAGTTCTCATGAAAATGCAAAGTATCGGCACCGGTATCTGAACTGGTATCTGAACATCCCTAATTAGAATTTAACAGAATATATTATATCAGGAATTTAAAAAAATCATGATTTGGTGATATTTAAATGAGTAATGATTCTGATGTGTCTGTATTAAAGGGTTTCACAGGATAAAAAAAAAGAGGTTGCCGGTATATTTATACAGCAATTTAGACCAACTCCAGCAAAAAACTTTTATTATATTTTTAATACAGCAGGAAAGGGATAGAACTTTAGTCAGCTCTTTATTGCTGTCAGTGTCTTATTTAGGTAAACTTCCCTCTCTTCCAGGACAGGCAATAATGCCAAACCTCTCCAACAAAAACACTAGGCTAAGTCTCCCCTTAACCTGCTCCAATCCATGCCAAGTCCTGAATATAAATTAGACATGTCAATTTTGTCAAAAATGGCTTTTCATACGAATTTCTTTAAATTCGAACATTTAGCTGCATCCCAATTTCCGAATTTGAACGCGTCCGAATGCGAACAAATTCGGATTGTTCCGAAACGAAATTTCGGATGGATCCGAAATCCGAATAACAAGCTGAATCAAATTTCGGATCCAAAATCAGAAAAAAATAAATAAAAATCAGAACTGATCCAAAACGAAACAATTTTTTTGCGTCTAATATAGATCCCTTCAATGCAAGATCACATGACCAACACTGAGACCCTGGTCACATAATTCCTGTTGAACTAGTGGGAGTGATGTCAGGAGACCCCTTATTGGCCATGTCTTCCTGTACATTCCCCCAAGATCCTACTATAATTTATGCCGCATTAATTCTGGCATGAGCTGAACAGGTGGAAAGCTAGAACAAGGGTGTGGACATTTAAAAAAAAAATATTTTAACTAAAACTGTATTTAACCACTTGCTGACCGTGGTGTTAATACCCCCTTCCTGTCCAGGCCATTTTTCAGTATTCATATTCACATTTATTCCGTCATGCATCGCTGTACTGAAATTAATTTTATACCCTTTTTTGGGGACAGATAGAGCTTTCCTTTGGTGGTTCAACCTCTGTTGATAAATCGTGTACACTGCGCTACGGCTCATAAACGTGCATAAACTTCCAAACAATGTGTACATTTTCATAAAGATAAATTTTCAAACATAATAATAATCAATATGACAATATTCAATAACAGTCCTTAGTAAATCGGTGTAAAGTGCTTTTGTGTAAAATCCACAATGTGACAATGATCCTCTGAAATAAAGTGCTCCCGACTCCCGATGTGTTAAGGTCACTGAGAACACACTCACCAGAGATCCATGATCATATAACTCAATGGTTCAATAAACGTAATTGTGGTAAGTGTCTTTCATAGATGGGATATTCACTCTTCTGATGAAACAAATCCTCCTTTCCGTATTACACGTTTATGAAAATGTACACATCGTTTGGAAGTTTATGCACGTTTATGAGCAGTAGCGCAGTGCACACGATTTATCAATTCACTTATTTATAGCACAGCAGCTGACACTGTTTAGTGTAATCATTGGATTTACTTTATGAGAATATTTAGTGTAGCACATATATACACACGTATATATCCCTGTTACATTGCTGGTCAGTGTATAGACCTCCGTTACATTGCTGGTCAGTGCATATACTACTGTTACATTGCTTGTCAGTGTATATACTACTGTTACATTGCTGGTCAGTGCATATACTACTGTTACATTGCTTGTCAGTGTATATACTACTGTTACATTGCTGGTCAGTGTGAATATCACTGTTACATTGCTGGTCAGTGTGAATATCTCTGTTGCATTGCTGGTCAGTGTGAATATCACTGTTACATTGCTGGTCAGTGTGAATACCTCCGTTACATTGCTGGTCAGTGTATATACTTCTGTTACATTGCTGGTCAGTGTATATACCTCTGTTACATTGCTGGTCAGTGCATATACCTCTGTTGCATTGCTGGTCAGTGTATATACCTCTGTTGCATTGCTGGTCAGTGTATATACCTCCGTTACATTGCTGGTCAGTGTATATACTGTACCTCTGTTACATTGCTGGTCAGTGTATATACTTCTGTTACATTGCCGGTCAGTGAGAATACATCTATTACATTGGTGGTCAGTGTAAGGCTACTAAACTAATTATCTCCTTTCTCTCTCTCCTAGCTGTCTCCTGTATATTCTCCCAAAAAAATTCAGCGCAGCGCTAGCGTGTTCAGGTTTCGCTTGAAGAAAAGGTGGCAAACCTAACTGACAGCTTTAACTAATGTAGCACATCATGGGACATACATCATTAAAGCTGGTTTACTAGTACATGTCAAATGTGAAAAAACATGTTGGGCTACTGCTAAGGGCATCAGCTGGTTATAATCGGGCCCTGCTCCAACCACACCTGTAGCCTGCCCAGTCTCTGAACGGTTCTTGTGGGAAGTCTGCAGTTTCTGACCATCTCCTTTAGTACATCCCCAGTCTCTGAGAGTCTTTTGTAGTATTACATGCTTTGACTATTATGCGCAACCCTTTGTTGATGTCAGGGGCCCCAGTAAAGGCCCCTCCTGTATTAACCAAGTTTACCACAACTGCGTTAGATTGAGTGAAGTTTCCGTCCCCAGGGAATAAAGAATTTCCTGGTATTGCAGTCAGTGAAAGGAGGACAGAAACGCTGCTGTCAATTTCCTGATTTTTGTACCATACCTTAGTGCTGGTGGGGCCTCCTCGATCTGTACTTTACCCTCCGCCCGTACTTGTCCCGTATGTGAGTCACTAACTCAGCAGTAAAACAGGAACAGACACCCCCTTCATCCTGAACTGGGGCGAGAGCCAGACGCAAGAGCCAGCTGTCTGCCAGGGCGGGATCCGTGACCAATCAGGAAGAAGATGGGATGTCACTATTTAAGACAGAACATCAGTTTCCAAACATCTGCAGAAACAAAACAGTCGACGTATGGCAAAATTATTCCCAATGCATAGTCCTACGGGGGGCACGTTATGTCTGGCTCATAGCGGATAGAATCGTATACTGGACAGTTATAATGTATCATCTACAACTGTTAACCCTTCCGATTTCTCTTTATTCATTGACAAATCCATGCAGCTGGTGTCTAAATTTAGGTTGTTGTGTGCAAACACCCTTAAATGGAATCTGTTAAGGGAAGAGTGCTCAGACTTGCAGTAGTTTACTAATCCAATGACGTAGCATGTCTGTGTCCATATGAAAGGGTCACTCCACATGAAACTGATGATTTTGGTGGAAATTGTAGAGTTAAACCACCTGGCAGTTTCTTTACAAATTGGGCACCATACACCTTCATCTTCGTCCGATGATCGAACCGCCGTACGATCTTTGTACGGCGGCCCCATCCTGCCCCGACCATCACACAGTTTAATTAGCGGTCTTTAGCAGAAATCACCTGGACGAATTTCGTTAATCGAACGCACGGATCTTCGTTTTCGCATGAGCAGTGTTGATCGTACGAATTTTGACGTACAGAAACGCCACCAACCTTGCGAAAATCGTACGATCGACCTAAATTTTCTAGCATGCTGGAAAGACGAATGTCGTACAATTATACAGTATTTGTGGTTGTAGACTCCACCATCAACCTTACGAATATCGGACGAAAACGTGATCGCAAACGAAATTCGGCCGATAGTCGTAAGGTGTATGGGCACCTTAAAGTAGTATTAAGGTCTGGGCATTTTTTACCTTAATGCATTCTCTGCATTAGGGTAAAAACAGCCCAGGACCTTTTTTTATTTTATAATACAGGAAGTGAAGCAGATATAAGAAAGCACCAGGAGATTAAGCCAATCGGATCCCACATTTAACTGAAACAATCATTTTTCCTTATTGTTAAGAAAGCTTCACAGCTTTGTGTGGCGGTAACAAGCACAGCAATTGCAACGCACGATGAATAGTGGTAGTTCATGCACCATTCAGTTTGAATATCATTGCGACACACTAAAGCAACACACCTGCGTTGCAGCAAGCTGCTATGCACGGGACTACACAACCTTGGTGTTGCCATGCGGTGCAATCCTGAAAAAAGGTGAGGTGGGTTTTTTGTGCAATGCATTGCATTGGTAGCTCATTTAAAATGAATGGGTTGCCTTAACGCAGACAATGTTAACGAGTGGCGTAACACGTGTTAGGGTCACCATACACATTAAAATCTTTGTACAATCAACTTTAGATTAAAAAAAAAAATGTAATATGAGGACCTACCTATCCAATCAATCGGTATCCAGTAAGACCAGCCTCTGCATTACATTGTTGGTAGATCTAAAGGAGATTGTACAATAAGATTGTAACACGTGTGGTGAGCATTAATGTGCATGTATTAACACATTTCACAGGTGTGAGGCCAGCCTAAAGTCTTTTGGTACTTTCAGAGTTACAACTAGGGAGATGAGTAATTTTGACTTTATTCCAACTCTCATTTGCTGCATGCTTCTTTTGGGTGAGTGACTGAGATGTAAAATTAGACAATGACAGCCTCCCTATTTCTTTCCTGATTGCTGTACTTTAAGCATGTGGTGCTGGGCCCTTTGATTTCCCACTGCACAGTACGCAATGGCATTAAGAATGTAAAAAGTTATTTCTTCGCTGTTTCATTTTACTTTATATTGCAGATATTTTGTCACATGTGACACTATGTGATTCATATCAGCTTCTCCTCTCTCAGGCATAAACATGCTGGGCTTATTTATCAAAGGGTTTAAGCAATGTGGATGATATCAGAAGCACAGTTTGTGCCAGTTCTTTCCCCAGACTCTTTGGTATACCAGGTCTTTTGCTGTTATGTATCAACAGTGACACAAGACTATGGGGTCTATTTATAAACAATTTGCAGAGCCATTCGCCATGTGAATCTCTGAACATTTACTCTGTGCAAAAAACGAATGTTCGTAGTATATTTTCTTTTCAGGTTGAATGTAATATAATGTAACACTGCATTATGGCCACTGGATGGAGCTGGCGAACATAGGAAATAGGTTCTTTTGCTCCTCAGCTCCATCTAGTGGCTATAATGCAGTGATTTATTGAACCTGAAAAAAATAATATGCTAATACTGTTCATGTTTGCCTCTATTCAGGAAGAACAAACGTTCACAGAGATTCACAGGGGGAATGGCTCTATGAATTGTTTAAAAATAGACCCCTATATAAATTAGAAGCATGCTTCTAGAACTCATTATCTGCCTGATTTTTTTTAAAAGCCCATTCACACCAGGGTGGTTGCGGATCAGCGCGGTTACCACACTGATTTAAAAAGGGAGGTTTTGGGAGGTTTTAATTGCATTTTAGCACTGAAACACAATTAAAAACGCCCCAAACCGCGCTGATCAGTGCGGTTCCATTGAAAGCTCTATGGAAACAGCACTGATCAGCGCGGGAAAAATTGTGCAGGGAGCAGTTCGGGTGGGGGGCGTTTCGGATCGCGCTGAGCCGCGCAGTCGCATGAATGGTCCCTATAGCAATGTATGGGATCGTTCATGTTGGCAGATCCACGCGGCCGAACAGCCGCTGTGTAAACGGGGCCTTATTGGAATCACACCTGCATAAACCTTGCTCTGTGAATATAGTCTAATGATCATGCATGGCATTCACTATCACCTGCCAACTTGCAGAAGTTGAAAAGTTCAGAGACGCCTGGAACAGAATGCATCATCTGTACTATTGGAGAATGAAAATTTTAGATTTTTTTCTTAAGGGTGACAAGAAGATTTCTAATTTTGATAAATTAGGTCCACTAAGGATTGAGCATCAACATCACAAAATATATGTTGTTCTTCTCCCTCAGGGACTATGGGGTCTCTACAGAGGCATGGGGGCCCCGCTGGCTGGTGTGACTCCTATAATGGCAGTCACGTTTTTTGGATTTAGTCTGGGAAAGAAGTTGCAGCAGAATCGTCCAAATGAGCCTCTAAGGTGAGATATGACTGCCTGTTGGGTGGAAGTGACAGGTCCACTTCTAAAAGACCTACCTGCTTACGTTTCCTTTTCTTTGATTGCGATGATTCCAGACCCCACCAGGTGTTTGCGGCAGGAATGTTGGCAGGAATCTTCGGTGCAGTTATCGTCATTCCTGTGGAGCGGATCAAGTGTTTGCTACAGGTGAGAGCCAAATTTGCCAACACCAGCTAATGTGCACAGAGTGGCAACTCACAGCAACCAATCAGATTTTTAATTTGCAGTAGTCCAATCTATAAATGATACATTTTGGTCGGATGTCGTATACATTGCATCCTGTCTAATGAATTAGAATTATTGTGAGTTTCCCTAAAAATTCAATCTTATATACAGGTAGCATTACTGAAGCTGTTCAAGATGCATCTATTGCTCATTGAAGAGAACCTGTCACTAACATTGTGATGATAATGAGGTCTGCTGAACCCTAAACTGAGCAAGGAGAATGGGGAAGCTCTGATGAACGGAGTACTGCCCTCATTCCTCCAAAATGAAATTTTAAATCGTCTGTCTATGAGGTAGAGGTGACCACTTTGATAGCACAGACCAGATTGAAACCCAAAGTAGGCCATTATAAATCCTATAAAATGTTCCAGTTAAAACATCATGCCAGGATCTGCACAGCCTGTTATTGAATCTGGGCGTAAATGCCCATTGGTTAAATGGCTGAAAACCCGGGAAAATAGAAAGTAATGCAACCTCTTGGATCTCAGGTCAGTCTACCCCTGTAAGTCGCTTTAACTCAAACCCAGGCGATTCTAAGGGGGGGTTAATTGGATCGCATGAATGTAGGCAGAACTGTAGGATCATTGAGGGGAATTTATCAAAACTGGAGCAGACAAAATCTGGAGCAGCTATGCTTGGCAACCAATAAGCTTCTCTCTTTCATTTTTAAATCTTAAAGTGACATTAAACCCTCAGATTTTTTAACATAAAACAATACTGTAATGTGTGCCTTACTGTAATCCATGGTTGTTTCCCTTCTCTTTGCTGCTCTTCCTTTTAAATCTGTATCTGTTCTCATGCTCTGCAGAACTTCTGTTTTGCAGCAGACTGCCTTGTCTCAGGAATGGATACACGGTGTCTGTGTATAAGTTTCTATAGGCTGTAACCTGAGCCAGCACTACAGGAAGAGGCCCTGAGCTGAAAAGGGAAGTTCTCCCCAAGCATGAGAAAACATGAGGATTTAAAAGGAAGAGCAGCAAAGAGAAGGGAAACAACCATGGATTACAGTAAGGCACACATTACAGTATTGGTTTATGTTAAAAAATCTGAGGGTTTAATGTCACTTTAACTGAACAAACTGAAGAGAGAAGCTAATTGGTTGCCATGCACATCTGCTCCAGTTTTTGTCTGCTCCAGTTTTGATAAATTTCCCCCATTATGTTTATGGCAGCACAAACTTTTCACGTGATTCTGTTTGTTTAAATGTATGTCACATAGGATCGGAGCTGGTCAATTGGGGCTTAAACCATTATTGCTGATCGATTTCGACTATACGGACCGATCTTACAATTTCATTACCACTTTGTGGGTAATCAGTTGTCCGATTGTAACTTTTTTCAAGGTTGGCAAATCATTTGAAACTACAGTCGTATATATAATCGCTTCAGGTATGCCAATAAATCTTCCCCTTCTCTCAGCACCTTTCTCCTTGTCACTCCATTTCTCTCTTCCTTTCCTCATTCCTATCTAGATTTAGAGTAGAAAAAAGTTAGAACCTCTGTCAGTTTTTTTGTATTGCTATCTTGGGAGATTTACCCAACTGGTCTTGGTGGATGTTGTTACCAGGATTGAAGGTGATGGGAAATCCAATTTTATAGTCACTGGAACAGGAGGTGAGGGGACATCTTCCAGTGGGGAACGGTCGAAAGGGGATTTACCCGCACTTTGGAGAAATTTCCACTCGCTTTCTGTTGTATCTTGGGAACAGGAAGCAAAATTTCCCGGGATACAAACAGCAAGGAAAGAACAGACTTCTTACTACTCCCCTGTAAACAAAACTAAACAGAAAAGTGAGTTACACTTTAATCCTTCTCTCTCTCAGGCTCAGGCAAACAGCTCAGTGAAAATATTTGCAGGACCCCTAGATTGTGCCCAACAACTGTATCGGGAGCAAGGTATCCAGAGTTTGTATCGAGGGACTGTGCTCACTCTACTAAGAGGTAACCACTTACTACTTCAATAGAGAACTCTATATTATCTAACATAACCACAAAGGGTAATCCCAACGCAAATATCCGAAAATCTATTATATTTTATGTGCCAAATATTTAGATTTCATGGTTTTTCTGTTCCTGGCAGTCAAATAGATGACATCATTACAATCCAAAGAAAGATATACTCTATGGGGTCTATTCACGAAGCAGCCGAAGGATCTAGCAGTAGCTTCGGCTGATCCTTCGGCTAGCTTCGGCACCAGGACCCCTTCGGTTCAGTAGAACCGAAGGGCTGCTGTACGGGCTATTCACTATAGCCCATACAGCTCCCGAACTTGGCCGACCGGCTTAGTCGAGCCGAAGGCATATGCCTCGGCTCGGCTGAGCCGCGCTGAAAGCTGAAGCTGGCCGTGATCTTACGGCTGGCTCCGGCCACTTGCAGAGAGATCAGCGTCCCTAGTTACCAGCTAACCAGGGACATTGATCTCCAGACAGCCTAACTCTCCCTTGCGCTCCGGGAGTCTCCCGCTCCCTCCCGGCTGCTGTCAATCAGTAGTGGACCTGATGGAGAACTGCAGCAGAGGGCGGGTGCAATGCTAGTTTGCTATTGCAAATTGAAATAGCCAATAGGAATCTAGCAATGCATTCCTATGGCCACAATTATGCTCGGCGGCATTCGGCTATTCCATCACTAGAACATGCTGAGCATGTTCGGCCGACCCAAAGCCACCCGATGTACGGCTGATTTCAGAGTTCAGCTCACTTCGCTTTAGGTCGGTCATTCACTTGGCTGCCTACGGCAGCTTAGTGAATAGACCCCTATGTAGTAGATAGCTATCCTGACATAGAGGGATATTAGCATAGGATTGCTGGTATAATGTCATTGTTCTCATCACCCTCCATATACTTCCTAAGATATCCCCGCCACTGGAATGTACTTCATGAGCTACGAGTGGATGAAACAGAAGCTTACACCAGAAGGCCAAAGGTGATTAGAGAATAAGGCATTCAAACATTATTTATCAATATTGAAGCAAATTGTTACTTTGGGTTGTATTTATTAAAAAAATCTGCAGAGCCATTCATCCTGCAAAACTGCATGTACATTTATTCTGTGTGAATGGGGTCAAAACAAATGTTATTAGTATATTTGTTTCCAGGTCGAATGAAATTCCTTCATATGAATAAAGTGAATCAGGAAAATACCCCGTTATGACCACTAGATGGAGCTAAGGATTATAGGAAATAAATATATATATTTTTAATGATCCTCAGCTCTATCTAGTGGCCATAATGCCGTATGTTCCTAATATAATATGCAACCTGGAAATGATTAAACAGCTAACATTCATTTTTGCCCCATTCGCACAGAACAAATGTACATGCAGTAAAACTACAATTTCAAACATATGCAAGAGACAACTATAATAAAGGAATATGCTATGTAATATTGGTTATATTCATGGCAGTAGCTTGAGTACATATGCTAGAAGGAAGAGGGTGCAGAGTGGTGAACTCATCATTCACTATCCAATCAGTTGGGGGTGTTATAAGCTGTGTTGCAGCTGAGGAGGAGTTCTTGGTTGTTCTGTTTGGCAGGGACACCTCATTTACAAGACTGGCTGCACAGAATTACAAATCCTTTATTAATTAAAACTGCTCCTACACATGTATTTTCCTTGTGTACTTAGCCACTCGCTTGGTGTTCACCTTTAAATGTTCATCAACCCCCAAATATCTTTAGAAATGTCAGAACCCTCTGGCAAAAACAGCAAGGTACAGAGCAGGGGTAATTGACATAAGTTCATGTCTGAACTCTGCAATTTGTTTCTCTGGTATCATTTTACATGCAAAGATGGTACAAAATGATTAGAACTGAAATGTTGCAGGAATTGAGAAACAATTTTTGCTTCAAGAAATGGGAGTCTCAGCCCTCAGGATAAAGTTAACAATGATAGAATGAGGAACTGGCTGCCACCTGGGCAGCTGCCCCTGGGTACAGTGTTTTCTATAGGGCGCGGGGGGGATAGGCACGACATGGTGAGCTGTGCCCTGCTTATTGCATGCATGCTCCTTACCAGCAGAACAAACAGGTGCTCCCGGTAGCAGTACCTCTCACCCCTGAACAGAGGCTGATGAGCCCACTCCACATAAAGCCACCACCCTCCCCTGCAGCTTTAATCAGTGCCACTCGTCACCCAGGACCAGTGGCAGAGCCTGCCCCCATCCTGCAGTGGTTTGCCTGCTCTTTGCTGAAAAATCACTCCCTGCATTGTGCTGCTAAAGTGCGGAATAAGAGTTCAATGTGCCAAGTGATGTTTAGTTGTTGGAGTATACTGCTAGCCAGCTCTCTGATGGAGGTGGACTGACAGCTCTACAATCAGGTCTCAGCACCGACCTTCCACCTCAAACCCCTCTTCCCCTCATATCATCTCTCGACTACTGAACTAACCCCCACCTCCATTGACGCAGTTAAACATCTTCGTTCTGGATGCTGGCTGACTTTGTCCCAGCGCTGGCTGCAACATATCATAACAGAAAAGGTTTTACAGGCAGTGACTGTTAATTCTACTTGGAAAGAAGTATTCTTTTCCATTATTGGAGTCTGTGATTAGTGGAAGATGCAATGGTCCCAGCAGACCGAAACTGTCAATCACATTTCAACATTTCAGGGAAATCAGTTCAGTGAAAAAGGAATTTTGTTTTGTCTGTATCACTTACTGCATTTTACACATTGATATTCCAGCATTGTAGATGAAAGGGCATGTATTTTGCTCACCCTTTACCTCCTGATTCTCTCACAGCATCAGCAATCTTAGCGTTGAGCGTATTTTGCTCGCAGGAGGTGTGGCCGGCATGTGTAACTGGGTAGTGGCCATTCCGATGGACGTACTAAAGTCTCGATTTCAGACAGGTATCTCAGCTTGCGCTGCCTTTTTAACATATTATGCTGCATGTACAGTAATAAAAAATAAATCAAAGCAAACGTGTACTAACCTCACATCGCGCCTTCTCAGCATGACACCCAGAATGACTCAATGGGTCATTTCCCATGGTGCAAAAAGAACCTACACTACTCTGATCCATATAAGCTCATTCAGCATGACATGGACGAGGTAGGGAAGGCATACACCCACAATTATTCAGGGTGTCAGGTATTGGGCTATAGATCCTAAGCTTTCCCATTGCAAGAAAATGAGACAAAGGTGTTAACTGGGTACAGCTGTTAGTTAATTGGTGATTTTCTTTGTAAACAGCCCTTTTACATAGATGATATATGGCCACACACATTGCAACCCGATTACACGTTCTTCATACGACCTCCCTTAAGGTGGCCATACACTGATCTCGTACGAGAATCGAGCAGTGTATGGGCACCTTAATGGTGCCCATACACTGCTCAGGGGGGCGGGCTTGCGATGATCGAGAGTGCAATCTGCCTGTCCAAGATAGGCAGATCGTACGTTTTTTTAATCCCTGTACAACCATCGCAAGGCTAAAGTCTTGCGATGGTTGTAGAGTGTATGGCCACCTTTAGATTCATCATCTACCTAAACAATCCATTCAGTTTGCATCTAATCAGGCAGGCCCTGGCATTATAGTTGTTGGTAAATCTGAAGAGGAGTGTACAACCAGACTGTAGGGTGTACGACCAGCTTTAAGCTTGTCTTGACACAACATACACACACACCAATTTGCACTGTGGTATTGAATGGTCTTTTTGGTCTAATTCCAGCTCAGGCTGACCAATACAGAGGTGCTCTGGATGTCTTGAGAGAAGTACTGAGAAACGAAGGGCCCAGAGGGCTGTACAAGGGCTTTACAGCGGCCATGTTGCGAGCCTTCCCAGCCAATGCGGTGAGTATTGAGGAAGCAATAGATGAATGTGGTCCCCCTGAGGAAATCCGGTACTGAGGATGTTTGTAGAGAACTCCCTCTAGATGCAAATATCCATGTTTGTATTAAAGTCTATTATAAGAAAGAGCATTGTTCATCAGCCAGATTGTACTTTTTTTTTTTTACTAACTGCTATCTAATGTCTGAAGGCAACTTAAAGCTAATAGCTATTTATACAGGTAAAAAAACATATATGTGAACTGCCTTACCAGTCAAAAGATACATGATGCTACTCAGCAGGTCATGTGATCCAAACACCCCTGCCAGAGACCACAAACAAGTCCAGGACCTCATGACAGATTATGCAGTTGTTATGAAACATACAATGCGTTTAGAAACATTAGATGCGTCATGACAACGTATGCGTTTAGATTTTCTCTTACTATCAGTCCCAGTGGCAATGGTCAAAATAGAGGAGTGAAGCTCCCCAGAAGGCACAGACAGCAATACAAACCTTTCTAACCGTTCACCACTATAACTAAAAAAGGAAAAAAAACTATTTAAGTGGAACTGAACTAAAAAAGTAAAGATTTGCTAAGGGAACAGCTAGAAGTTTTAATTATGCCTGGACAGTAAAAAAATAAATAAATTACCTTTTGTCTGGAATTCATTCTAAAATAGCAGTGCACTTCCTGATATGTGAGGGTGTCTCAGCACTCCTGTGTCTACAGCCTCATAGCTGTGTATCTGCAGTGTGGGATCCTAGGCACTGCTGCTTCTGACTGTGTGAGTCTTAGCAGATTTCAAGTGAGATTTGGTGATTTTACTACGGTGCTGCTCAGAGTTCTCCTTCCTGGAGGCTCTGACATGAGGAAGAAAAGCCCTGCCTCTACCAAGATGGCTGCCTCCACTCAGAGACAGTGCAGAACAAGGCATAGTAAGTCAGTAATGGGGAACACTCTGCTGCAGGAAAACCACGGCCAATAATGGAGAGTTCTTTGTCTGCCTTTTTTGGGCACAGCTTCCAGAGTTCAGCTTCTCTTTTAAGCTAAAAAATACAGCCTGGCCCAGGTCCCACCCCACCCTGGAAATGGACTAAGAAGGAGCAGTAGGCAGCAGCTCACTGATAAGAGCATCTTTTACTCTATCAATCTCTAAGCATATTACAGTGCAGTCAAAGCAAGAGATCCCTAATTGGCTCAGACCCTATCTCTCATAGTCTGGGCGTGCTGTGCAGGGGATTACAGGAGACTGAAATCAAGACAGGTTTTGGTACTTACCCTGGTTCTATGCAAAAATACATGTCATATTGTTTGCATGAATACATGATGGATTCAATAGTACATTTTAATATCTGCTTGGAAATCAGCTTTAATTACCCTAAAACTTATATTTTATTATTTTCATGATTACTGGCAGATTTAATCAAGCAGGTGGCCACGCAGGAGCACAGCACCCCCAAAAAGGAAGATGACAGTTTCGTGCAAGGTGCAAAGGGCAGGAAGTCACAGCAACTAATAAATTCTCTTTACTGAAGGAACACTAGTACAAGGTTAATTCTGATCGGATGCTGTGGATTACTGCACTTTGCACTTAACACTTTGCACTTTCATTAGTTTATAATAAAGCCTCCTATGTTAATGTCTCTAGCATGATGCACATATTAAACATATAAAGCTCTATCCAAATATTAAACTTCTTCAAATATTTTGATCTTGTCTTAGGCCTGTTTCCTGGGATTTGAGGTGTCCATGAAATTCCTAAACTGGCTGATTCCTGACAGCTCTTGAAGACCGGGGACAGACTGGCAGTTTAAACTCCATATATCTAGAACTGTACAACATGATCCTCAAACAACATGGAGCTAGTTCAGTCCAAGGATGTCACTGTTTGTCTACTTGGCAGTCAGCACCATAGACAATGCAGTGCTTAGGGTCCTATGTTTACTAACTCAAAAAGTCTATATGCAACAGAGTTAATGACTGAAAATGGAGAGTATTGGCTATTTCAAGACCCTAGAAGAGGCAAACGCTGAATAATCTGACAAACTGGAGTTCTATGCATTCCTCAAATATGTCACAATCCAATCAACACTTATATAGGTGACTTTATTATCTAGCTTGGCTCAAACTAGACATAACTGGTGCTACAATTGAGACCCACAGCCAAATGATAATGTGTCATTGTTCTGGGACCTTACGTGTCAGTGTGTCATTGTTTTGCGGCTCCAAGTGTTAATTTGTCAGAGTTCTAGGGTTCCAAATGCCATTTTTCTGGACCCTGATGTGTCAGTATATCATTGTTCTGGGGCTACAAGTGTCATTGTTCTGGACCCTGATGTGTCACTAATTCATTGTTCTGGGACTTCACGTGTCAGTGTGTCATTGTTTTGGGGCTCCAAGTGTTAATTTGTCAGAGCTCTAGGGTTCCAAGTGTCATTTTTCTGGACCCTGATGTGTCACTATATCATTGTTCTGGGGCTACAAGTGTAATTGTTCTGGACCCTGATGTGTCACTATATCATTGTTCTGGGGCTACATGTGTTATTGTTCTGGAACCCAATGTGTCAGCATGTCATCGTTCTGGGGTTACAAGTGTCATTGTTCTGTACCCCAATGTGTCAGTATGTCATCATTCTGGGGTTACAACTTATTATTGTCATTTTCTGAACCCCAATGGGTTTATTAATGAAACTTCCATACAGCATATACTTGGGTGGAATTAATTTGCACGGCACTAGTGCCCCCAGATGTTGCTAAGGAGTAGAGGAAATTTCTATATTCCTCAGTGCGATCTAGGGGCACTAGCAGTAGCATAATTATATCTATAGAGACCCAGTTGGCTGATCTGGGGCCTGGGGGTGTAAGCGGGCCTCATTGGGTTGTTGAGGCAAATTAAACATAAAACATGTGAATATAATGCAGTACTGTATTATTAAGTGTTGGTTTGGTTGCAGTTGACTCTAATGCCCTGTGAAGTCTACAGCGTAGATATGACTACAGGCACAAGAGGAGTATTTGGGATCTTTGTTTTGTTACTCACAGCTCAATGAGGGGCCCCCCCATCACATTTTTGCTATGGGGCCCTGTGATGTGTAGTTACCGCCCTGGGTGCTAGTGTCATGCAAATTACACCTTTTCTGGACCTCAAGCATTACCATCAAGTTTACCATTGTTAGGGACCCCAAGAGTCAACATGTCATTGTTCTAAAACAAAAAGTGACACCAAGTTTGAATGTGACATTGTTCGGTTAATACTTCTGTGTATGCATCCTGTTTATATAATAAAATTATTTATTTGTAATTGTTGAGTATTTTGAAGCACGCACACTGTGGCTACAAATACTAAAGTTTTTGAAAGAGGCATTGTGTGTGTTATTGATTATTTTAATAATCACCCTTCTCCATTTTCACCTACAAGTCTACTGACATCATGAATGGGACATTCTTTAATTGCTGTGAGTGATCTAAGGCCTTTAGAAGGAAGCTTAAACAGGAGGCTCTAATCTCTTTCAGGCACTGCCAAACTCTGGGAATGGTTGGTGTTCAGATCTGAATGACCTGGTAGTTGATGGATGCTGCATTGTGGCCCAAACAAAAGATGTAGCCCTTGGCTGGCCTTTCACTTTTATTGATTCCGCTCTTGGTCTGGATATTGTCCTAAACCATAAATACTTATCTACCTTTAGTGCCCATCTCAACACAGCCATACCCCTGGGCGTAAATGTTTCTGGAAAGCTTTTGTGATACCGCTCTCATTATGTTACCATCATATGACATCTGTCTTACAAAAAAAACCTACAAAAAAAAGTCAGACTCTTGTCATGGTGAAAGGAGACAGATGTCCCTTTCCTTTTTTTTGTTTGGTTTTAATCTATTTAAATCTTCTAAATAAAATAATAATGTGTAGCTACTACTGTTTAAGCATGCACTAGATTATAAGCTCCTTCATGGTCACGGACTAATGTGAATAGTACTTCTACAGGGTCTGTGAAATATGAAGGTGCCAAACAAATGCAGGATAGAAACAAATAGTCCAATCACCCATAACCAAGATATTTAATGAAAGCAAAAAAAAAAAAAAACTATTAAAAACTTTAATGTATACCTGTCATGTGCCCAGGAAACTGGGGGACATCCTTTAGGTTACCTGCCTGCCTCCCCTCCACTGCAGCTCCCCAAATTCAAATACTAAAAAAAGTTGGTGTTCGTCTACGATTAGGCCTTTCCCCTACTTTGACAGTGCGGGGACCAGGCATTTCTGGCACCGAACGCTTTGTGGGGCGGGTAAGAGAGACTGAACGTTTTATGAAGGAGATGCAGGTGCAATATACCTCCATGTTACTGCACTATGGTGTGAACTAACCCTCTATCCAAATGCTGAAACCATCAAAAAATGCCGGAGGTAAGTTGTCTTGGTCTGTTTAAGGCCAGGTTCACACCATTTTCCGGACCAGATCTGGAGCAGATCTGCAAACGCAGTGCAGTGTGTTTTACCGTGTTTTTTTTTTTGTAGCTTAAAATGGGCTTTCAGGTGCAGTCCAGTGCGTTTGTTTTCGTTCCATTCGTTCCAGTGCATTCCAGACCAGAGAAAATAGGACAAGCAGTATTTTTTTTCCGTCTGGACCGGAACGAACTGCTCTGGTGTGAACAGAGCCCAGAAATACCATAGAGATACATTGGTATGCTTTTTTGGTCCGTGAACAAACTGTTCTGGTTTGGACATTGGGCCGGTTCACACCACAAACTCCGTGTTCCAGTGCATTCGGTTCAGGGGCGGGAGGGGGCGTGGTGGTGCATTGAAGTGAATGGCACCGCAGCCACGCCCCCGGTCCGCAGTGTGATCACCTTCACCCGGAACACAGGCAGCCGTTGACTTCAATGCACCATCACACCCCTTCCCAACCCTGAACACAGGGAGCCGGCCCGCTTACGTTCCAGTGCGTTCCAGAGGCCGAACACACTGGAACTGGGAGTTTGTGGTATGAACCGCCCATAATCTGGACATGGTATGAACAAGCCCTGAAAGCTTACTAAAGTGGTTAAAATTGGCTGAAGACCTTTGGCCATACACTAGGAAATGTACAGTATGTGAAAAAAAATACATGATCCAGCTGAACCAGCTTTGGATTACAAAATGGACTGAATGGATCAAAGCAACCAACACTAAAGCTGGCCATGAATTATGTGAATTTCACACAGTGGGTGCCACTGTTGGCACCCTTTTGACCGGCATCCCTCGATCAGCTGATTGAAGGAGCCGATCAGAAAATCTTCGAAGGAGCACTGCAAGCAGCCAATGAGATGCCGCCTCTGTTCAAGTATTCTGACAGCGACAAAAGATTGAGGATTCCTCGATCAATGCGATCATTGCGTTAATGGAGGAATCTGTTCTATTTATCTTTGTTCATCCCACGGGTTGAATAAAAAAAATAGAACAGTGTATGGCCAGCTTAGGGGCTGACAGGAGAAAATCCCAAGGTTCCCCCATTCGCACTGTTTAGCTTGGTTATTGTAATCAGACAGCTGCAACACCAGTGGGTGCCCAAATACCTAAACAGAGACTGCATCTGATTGGATTCAGTCCCTGTTCAGCTGGTAATTTTTCACATGGCTCAAATGATTTTTTTATCTACTTTTGTTTAGCTGGGTGGTGTCAGCAGGGCCACTCACTGACTATTAAAGTCAAATAATACCCGATTTCTGCTGAATGGGCCGAAAGCCATGGATGGCTACCTTACAGGGCATATCTACCCATAGGCAGCCACAGGAGGATGTACAGGTACATCCAGGGCCGGATTTCCCACAAGGCCCGGCCTCGGGGCAGCAGGGAGTAGGGGGGCCGCAGGGGTGTGGAATTCCTATCTCCCGATGGCCAGGACATGAAGTTCTGGGCGCCGGGTGGGTAATTGTTTTCTACATTTAGCCCTGCTTTTGGGCAAGCAGAGCTAAATGTACAACGGGGAAGCCACTGCTTGTTTTATACAAGTGATCTCGGCGATGTTGCCAAGATCACTTGTATGCAGCCCGCAGGTCTGCCATTCTCCATGGGTCGGTGGTTGGTGGGTAGGGGGGCGCATTGAGGAACCTGGCCTTGGGGCAGCAGAGAGACAGTAAATCCGGCCCTGGGTACATCCTTCTAGTACAATGGCGCTGTGGATCGGCCGTATATGTACAGTGGCCAGTCCACATCCCCTTTGCTCTGTGTGCATGTGGCCGGCGCCTGCAGAAACCGTTGTTCCTGTCATTTTTTTCCTTTTTTTTTTCTTTACATAGCAAAACAAAAAGCGGTTATTAAATACTGTCAAAAGAAAGCTCTATCTGTCGCAAAAAAATGATATATAATTTGGTTAGTTTGGTAAGTGGTGTGATGGAGTAATTCTCAGTGAAACTTTAACAGCACTGAAAAATGAAAAATAATAATGGTGAACATGCCGGGACTGAAATGGTTAAGTAAGTGGACCTGACATTCAGCAAACATTCACTGCAGGTGAATTTTCCATGTGCATTTAAAAGCAGAGAATGTTTGGTGAAAGTCACATATTTATTGCTTTATAAACTAAACGTTTCAATTGTTTCACAGTTTTCAGTTTGGGTAATAAATTATTATTAATAATAATAATAATAATAATAATAATAATAATAATAATAATATTAGTAATTATGAAACAGCCTCCCCTGTGGCCGCAGGCGACATATTGTGTGTGTGCTCCATCTAGTGGACGGAGATAAGAGTGCAGGCACAACACGGTGACAGTAGTAGTATAGTAGAGGACACTCAGCAGGGACACCCGGGGCTGGATGAAGCTTCTCTCCTTTCACAGGGCGCACTCTTCCTTTGCAGCAGGTGAGTGGCCTGACGAATAAGATGGCGGCACCCAGGCTCATCTGCCTCCGTCTGCCGGTACGGACTCAGCGGTGACCCAGCTTGGTGTACATCCCTCAGTACCGGGCAGCGGGTCCCGGAGAGAAGCCGGCTGCTCACTTCCTGGGAGGTGGAGACGAGACATGCGGCTTCCAGCTGAACAGGCCGAAGCCGCGGACTTTCCTGACTTGCTGCCCCGGCAGGAGGCACTGGGGGTGGGAGGGATGTTTTTCATTGCTGTGCACAAACAAAGCACTGATAACAAAAAATGCCTGAATTTATCTGCAACAGACTTAGAGTTGTTTTTTATTTTACTTAACATTTATATATTGATTTTATCGTTCCTCACCAAGGTCAGTACTGAATATTTATCAGAAATTGCCAATGAATCAGGTGGCAAAAAAGCAACAAACCTAATGTAATGTTAGTGTAACACTGTAGCAGTTATTATTATTATTATTATTATTATTATTATTATTATCATCATCGACTTTGTTTTGTGTAAATCAGCAAACAATAAACAGTTACTTTTTCCTAATAATGTTATGACCTTACTGTACAATTCTTACTATGAATAGTCATCTACTGTAATTTTAAAAATAAATAATGGTTTATCATTTTCTAATCTACACACAGCACCAGCATCATAGGCAGTGGAGATGAAATAATATTGCATCACAGTGACCTTACAAGCCACTTTGTGTATCGGACATTAGGTTACAAAATCACAAAAATAATAGGCGAATGGCGATGATGCATTTTAATGTTACCCGTTTCAAAACCGTGATCTTGATGTTTATGATACTAATGATGGTAAATGAAATAGTCATTGTATTGTTCTTACTGCTGTACTTATTATGATTTCTTTATCTGTATTTTTCTATTTTATTTTTTGTTAATGTTTCCCTAGATCTCTGCTGACCTGTGAAAGATGCCTTTGGTGGTAAAATGGCCGTTTCCTGCCCACATGAAATTACAATGGCATGTTACCAGTACCGTTATTACAGGACTTGTTGGTACCTACAGCTGGATATGGACCAGTAAGTATCCCTAGTTCTGCACCTAAAATCTGAGAAAGGTGTAAAAAACTGTCTCCACCAGCAGATATTAATTTTGCTTTGGGTGGAAGGTGATGAGACTGCAGTGTGTAATATGATTACGGCGGCTTCAGTAGTTATTCCATCCTGCTATTCCGGCTTTTCTGAGTTACGTGACAGTTGTTATCATCTGATGCTTAGAAGGATGGTGAATGACTCCCAACTGTACAATGTGGAGAAGATATGTAGCCAACTCACTGACAAGCTCTTGCAAAGTTCTTTTTTATTTTTTATAGAACTTCCTGTTCTCTCTCTCTGCCGGCGTCCACCACCAACATGGCCGCAGGCAGGCGTCAATAAGATGGCCACGCATACGTGATGACGTCACGGCTGCTTGTCTCCGCTCCAGGTGACACCCAGCCTCGGGATGCTCCTGCGCTCAGGGACCCTTCCTGAGGGCTTGTTCACACCATGTCCAGACCAGAACAATTTGTTCCTGGACCAAAAAAGCATCCCAATGTATCCCTATGGTATTTTTTGGCTCTGTTCACACCAGCGCAGTCTGTTCCGGTCTAGACAAAAGGAAGAAAAAAAACTGTTAGTCTCATTTTCTCTGGTCTGAAATGCATATAAATGCATGTAAGAGCACTGGAGTGCACCTGAAAGCCCATTTTAAGAACAAAAAACGCACTGGAACGTGGCAAAATCACAGCAAAAATGCACTGCGTTTGCAGATCTGCTCCAGATCTTGTCCAAGCATGGTGTGAACATGATAAAGCACTTTGCAACAAGCCTGTTGGTAAGCTGTGACATATTTTATCCATGTTTTTGGGGATTGGAAAGCTACAAATCGATAAGAAAAGCAAATAGATGCCAGCATGTTTCCAAATCGTAGATGAATTAAGATGAACTGACACTTTTTAAAGTGGAATTTTCTCCTAAATTGGCTATGTATATGTTAAACAATTTAGCATGGGTTGTTGCAAGCCCTTACCTCTACCTGCTTTGATAAGAGTGACCCGGCCCTTTCCAGTGTACTTTACGAAAATCATTCAGTTTAAGTTCTAAGTGGGAGTGTTTTGCATTTTTCTGATGGCACAATCAGCCTCCGTGTTCTGATAGGAAACCTGCACCCCAGCATCCTCCTAGACCTGCAACACTTTTTGCAAGTATTTTAGATCCAAGAGAATTGCTAGGCATGCCTGTTGTTTGATTTTGGGTGAGTTAGCAAGCCAATTACAGGAGCCATGGAATAAGAATGATCAGAAATGCACTGTGTGACTAAAATTTAAATACAGCTGCCATGATTACAAGGAAGACAAATTCTATGTTTCTGGCGTGCAATTATTCAAAACAGTAGCTGGCTGCAAAATGGCTTGTGTGTCAGTTGTATGCCTGCCTGGAAATCTGCTCATTGCAGTACTATGAAGTAAATAGTACTTTACTGTGCGTCATTGCAACGCATACCAAGTCAGAATCGGCGGCGGATTAATGTGCCATTCAGTTTGAATGCCACCTCAAAGCCTAAAACAAAAAGTACATGCTTGAGTTTTGGTGCATTAGTAGCCCAGTCCAAAGAAATTGGCTGCCTTAGCAAAATGCATGTTAATGCACAAAATACCGTATGGTAATGTTCATGTAGTAACGCAACATACTGCACATGCTTAAAAGGGGCCTAAAAGTTATGTCTCCTTTTTTTTTTATGAAACCGGAGGTTTGTGTCTCTTGTGTACAACATCTCTAAGTGGTAATAAATGTAGCTGTAATTTATTCCTGCAGAACACATGAATCACCTGAAAGTGCACAACAAAGAAGTCTTGTATGACCTTATTGAAAAACGGCAAGTGGATACACCTCTACTCACCATTTCCAACCACCAGTCCTGCATGGATGACCCACATCTCTGGGGTAAGCTGTACTTAACAGCATCATATAATAATGCTCCATGCTTCCCACACATTGGTGTATCTCAAAGCCAAATCAATTATCCTTGCTCAGTGACATTAGTGGTAAAAGTCTTAGGAAAGAACCTTTATTAAAAGGATTTGTTTCTGCAGGAATCCTGAAACTGAAGCACCTCTGGAATTTGAACAAGATGCGTTGGTATGTTTTCATCTTTCAAGATTTCTATGGTTTAATGAAAATCTAACTTAACTAATATTTGCACCTTGGGTTATTTACTGTAAGACCTCTTCCTTGTACTATGTCCTTGCCACAGGACCCCTACAGCTGCCGATATTTGCTTTACTAAGGAGATCCACTCGTTGTTCTTCAGCCTGGGAAAGTGTGTACCAGTATGTCGAGGTAAGTAGGAAGGGCACTGCTCATTCGTTTTATCTGAGTGGTCTCCTGTTTTCTGTAAATTGTTTTTTTTACTAAAGTTATCAGTCTATAATTTGCAGGCTGTTACAATACTGCATGGCCTTTTATTGCCCCCCAAAAATTCAGAAACTGTCGGCTTTAAGTATACCTCTCACCAGAAAAATGCATTGTAATTCCAGACCAAGCATACAGCAAATGAAAGTCGTAGAAAGTTTGGTTCCTTATCTCTATCTCTATACTTGTAAATGATGCAGAAAGAAGTGATTATCACCATTGCATCCAGACAACTTGCATTTCAGACGACTCTCATGAGAGGTTTGCTTTAAGATGGCCTTACACTGACAGATTTTCGTCCGATTCTTTGCTAGATCAGCAACGTTTACCAACTCTAGTTCAAGGCCTTCTAGTTGTTGGTAGAGGTGCACCAAAATGGAATTTTCAGACCGAACTGTTGGGGGTTCTGGGGAAATATCAGGAGTCAGACCCCTGATCTTACCCTTTTGAAATAGAAAGCGAGCTTGAGGACTCTGTGTCCTCAATCTAATTTTCTGCAGGCCCCTGTTGACTGAACAGGAAGCCTCTATACTGAGTGTTCCTGTCCATTCATACATTGAGGATATAGTATGAGTTACCATGTCCAAAATCATGAATGAACAGGAAATGATGTGGAGCACTTCCTATTCATTCATAATTGGGGACACAGTAAACATACTATGTCCTCAATTATTTACAAACAGTCAGCGATCAGCCGGTACTCCTCTCTCCATCCTTACTCGCTGTCACAGGAGGCTGAGTGGGCACCTGTGACACGGCTAACAGCGGGATCATGGGAGGCCAAGAGGAGTGGTGTGGGAGGAGAACTCAGCCACCTGTGACACGCTCACAGCGCTCTCCTCCCCACCTTACTTGGCCTCCTGAACGTTTCTCTCCTCCTTGCTGGGCACTGCTCTTGTCAGAGGGGACACAGTGCAGCACCCAGCGAGGTGGAGAGAAACCATGGATGCACCACAATTTTGGCTGAAAAATTGTACTTTCGGCATTTTGGCCAAAGTGCAATTTTTGACCGATCTGTTTCAGCGACCAAAATTTCGATGCATCCCTAGTTGTTGGTGTAAATTGTGGATTGTACAATCAGGTTGTAACGTGCATGGCTGTCTAATGTCTAGAGGTTAAAAATAATAATTTTTGTAAAGGAACGCCTGTTTATTAATTGAATGTCATCATTGCAAGATTTAAGATGGTGTTACGTTATATTTTACTTTTCTTACCATCTGCAGGCGATGGTGTGTATCAGCAAGGAATGGACTTCATTATAGAAAAGTTGAACAATGGTGAATGGGTGCACGTATTTCCTGAAGGTAATAATAATGTTACAGGCTACTAACTAGTCCTAGATAACCAGATCATGGTGGTCTCGGAAGAAGGGCGACTGTGTGACATGCTAATGCTCTCGGCGAGAGCGTCTGCTTGTCACTCAGAAATTCTAGTGATGCTTCAAATTAATGGGCAGAAAGCAATTACTGTAATGCATTTCTTAAGTAAAATGAGCCTGAGGCACTATACCAGTGTTACTGACCAGGGCCATTCTTATTAGAAGTGCACCTACTCATGGCCTTCCAGGAAAAGGGACCCATTTGTAGATTTGTAAGTAATTGTCGTTGCACTGTAAGACATGTAAGCCACTAAAAGAGCTCATCTATCTGCTGCTTGACACTTTAAAAAGCCAAAGGCTTTTATGTTTCACAGAAGATTGTTTCCTCTATTGGTTTGTGATCAATGACTTTAACACTGTATTAAACAATACATTGTTAAGCCTTCACTCTAATCCAAGAGCTCTTGAAGGGTCTGTCCATCCAAAACTGATATTTCATTATTGATGGATGCTAACGAGTTAAACTAGATGACAATTTCTTCTATTTCTCGAGGACTCTGTTGGTAACTCAGCACTGAGTTCCTGGGTCTGCACACCGGCTGTGGACATTGGGGGATTCTAACCCATCTCTGCTGCATATTTTTTTTTATATGTTACAGTATTCATTATAACAGGAGGAGGTGGATAGTAGCACCCAAAACTTCCAGGTGGAACAGAGTTGGGTATTCTGGTGGGAGTTGGTGTTGGAGTATATAAACTAGGGATGCACAGATACTTTTCGAGTACCAGTGCAGATACTTGGCATTTTCATGAGAACTACCAGCGGTTGCAGCTGGGACTGGGCTCTGGTGCTCCACCACTGTCCTGAAATCATTAGTTTGTATTGTTTTAGAAAAACTGTCACATGACAATAAACAAAAATGTATCAGTACTCGTACTTGTAAGTACTCGGCAAGTACCAGTACTCGTACTCGCAAAACTGGTATCCGTGCATCCCTTTATTTATATTTATAAAAACAAAATCATACATTAAAACAGAGATGTACTAATCCCGGGAGCTCTGTGTGCTCCTTACAAATGACAGCTGACTCCTAACTTCTGAATTTTTCTCTAGTCTAGTCCTGGAGCTCAAAAGTATCTGTACTTGTACTCGTACTTGTACCGAGTACTGTACTTGGTATCTGTGCAACCCTAATATAAACCACATAAAGGTCCAGGGACCAACTCAGCCCACCAAGCTTCATCTGTAGGGTAAAATATCACTTTTTGGTGGACTGACCATTACCTTAGTGTTTCTTCTGTGCCTAAGGCACACTAGTGAGGAGATTTTTGCTCTTGAGTTCTCATGTGCGCACCTGCAATGACCTTTACAAACGGTCCTACTCTTCCTGTTTGGATTCTTTATGTATTTTATATTATAAAGCATTCATCAGGAGTAGTCAATACACTCCTATTATTATTGCAGGGGAAGTGCGAATCTAGTGTGGGCAGGAACAGACACATGAATTATGGTAGATACATTTTACAACTGTAGCCCCCAAGTAAACAGCCAGATGATTACTCAGAATTGTCCCTGTAGTTCACCTTTTAATTTAAATTTCCTATTGCTTCAATTATACGTGTAAATGAGTGGCTAAAGTAGATATATCTGCTATTTTCATGTACCATTAAAATTAATGATTTTTTTTTTTTTT